AGTCAAAGCTGAGTCCTGCAGCTCTTGTTGGATGTAGGGTTGCCAAGTCCGCGTTTTTTCCACAGAATTGGGCTACTTTTAAACTGTTGCCATGGGTTGATTTTCCCAAGTGGGTTAAAGGTTTGAAATATTGCATAAATTACATTTGACTGAAATGCTTGTATTGAAACATTTAGCATTCTACCTATGATAAAACTGTCATGGACTTCTACATTAACTGTTCCCTCCTGGTGGAATGACCCGCCCAGCTCAATCCAAGCAGCTGAGTCCTTGATATTTTCAAGAAACCGCTGAAAACACATCTCTTTCATCTTCATTTGACCTCTAGCACTCTATATTCTATTTCTATTCTTTCTACTTATTTTCTTTTTATTTATTCTAAAAACAAAACAAACAAAAAACCCTTGCTATGTATACTGTTACGTGAACTATTACATGTTTTTAAATGTAATGTTGGTGCGAGTATAAATTGTAAACACCGTTTTTGCTCTTTCCCGTCAGAAGGAAGACCCTACTAAGAGCAATCCTCGCTTCTGGGATGAGCTGTTTCTGATGAAGGTCCGTGGCAGATACACATCGTGAAATGCTGTTTTATGAGTGCGTGGACTATGCTGTTGATCTGTGTGCTTTGAGCAGGTCAATCTGGAGTATCTGGAGGGGAAGTTGGAGTCTCTGGACGGGGATGAAGTCGTGAAAATCAAAGACAACATCAACAGTTTGTTCCATCACTGTGTTCAAGCTCTGGCTGAGGAGCACCAGATCAAAGTAGTCAATGCGCTTCAGGTAAAATCATGCTTCCTGCGTTACTAAAGAACATGATCTGATCTGATAATCAAGTCATGCTCCGAATAATCAATGTCTGGCTAGTGCTCCATCGCAGAAGATTTAATATAAAGAAAATGAATCATTTATATTATTTTTTTAATGTCAATTACAAACATTTTTGTGAAAAAAAAAAATATATATTTTCATCACTGCAATTTGAAAAAATAATTATGTACTTTTTAAATGATTAAGTATTTATACATGATGGTAGAACTACTTATTTTTTTTAATCGTTGTGTCTGTGTAGGATTTTTTTATATTTAGAGTATTGAAAATCTAAGAATCTAATAAGGTTAGCCATTGATAATAATAGAATTACAAAAAAATATTGTATTTTATTTTATTTTACAATAATGATAATTATGGGGTAAAATGTACTTAGTTGTCATAAAATTACAAAATATAATAATAGTGTAAAAATAGACTAACATTCAAAAATTTGAGGCCAGTAAGCTTTTTTTTTTTTAAAGAAATTACTACTTTTATTCAGCAAGGACACATTAATGAATCAAAAGTGACAATAAAGACATTTATAATGTTCCAAAAGATCTCTATTTCAAATAAATGCTGTTCTATTGATGAAAGAATCCTGAAAACAAGTTTTAATGTTTGATAATAATAATAAATGTTTCTTGAGCAGCAGATCAGCATCTTATTATGATTTCTGAAGATCATGTGACTCTGAAGACTGGAGTAATGATGCTGAAAATTCAGCTTTGATCACAGAAATCAATTACATTTTATTATATATTCACATAGAAAACAGTTATTTTAAATTGTAATAATATTTCACAGTATTACTGTTTTTACTGTATTTTTGATCAAATAAATGCAGCCTTGGAGGGCAGAAGAGGCCACTTTCTTTCAAAAACATTACAAAAAACCTTACAGACCCCAAACTTTTGAACAGTACTGGAAGTTTCATTTTCTTTACACCATATATATATATATATATATTCTTTTTTATTTTAAATAAACATGCTTACAAATACTCAATTGGAAACATCAAACCAAAGTTGTGAAGCTTTTGTGTTTGCAGACACACCCTACATTCAGTTGCTGGTTGGCATTCAGAAAATGTAACAGTTGCTTTTGACCTAAAGCTCTGAATGAGCATGACAAAGACATGAAAAGCTCCTCCTGTCTGTTTCTGTAGACTCTCTGTGCGCTGTTTCGAGGAGTTCACCAGAAGAACAAGTCCGCCACAGGCTTTGACATCATCAACATGCTGATGGGCTTCGACAAAGCTGAGCTCCGAATGAAGGTCAGTCGTTTGTCCCGCTCGCACATGATCTGGACGTTTTTATTGAATGCAGAGTTGAGCTGCAGTGTAATTGTGCACACAGGAGCTAATGGAGAGCCTGGACAGTCTGCTGTGCGGTGATGGATCAGAGAGTCTGAAGAGTTTGTGTCTGAAACTACTGCTGTGTCTGGTCACTGTAAGATCAGTGCATTCATTCTTCTGCACTCTTTTTGTACAAATCTGCTCACTTTCACTTCCATGGTAAAGTAGTCCGCTTGCTGCTTAGGTTGTAACAGCGAGCAAAAATCAGTCCATTTACAATGGAAGTCAAGTCCTGGAGTCATTGCACCAATTGCAACGATTTCAAAATTATAGCAACAGAACTTAAAGGAATAGTTCATGCAAAAATGAAAATTAGCTGAAAATGTATTCACCCTCAGCTCATCTGAGATTAGGATGAGTTTGTTTCTTCATCAGGTTTGGAGAAATGTAGCATTGCATCACTTGCTCACCAGTGGATGTGGATGGGTGCCGTCAGAATGAGCTGATAAAAACATCACAATAATCCACACCACTCCAGTCCATCAGTTAATGCCTTATGAAGTGAAAAGCTGTGTGTTTGTAAAAAATAAATACATCGTTAAGACTCGTTTTTAGCTTCAAACCGTCCCTTCCGGCTAAAACGCGAGTCCATAATAACGCTTCCTCCAGTGAACAAGTGGTCTGGTCTGAATCAGGAGAGAAATCTGCACAGATCAAGCATCGTTTACAGTCCAAAACAGCTCTAAACAAATATGTGGGTGGATTTTGATGTGAGAGACAACAGGAGATGCACTTTTTCACTGGAGGAAACAATATTATGGATTATAGACTCATATTTTAGTTAGAAGCAATGGTTTGAATGTAATAATAGATTTGTTTCTTACAAACACACAGCTTTTCTCTTCTTGAGTCATTAATTGGTGGACTGGAGTGGTGTAGATTATTGTGATGTTTTTATCAGCTGTTTGGACTCTCATTCCGACGGCACCCATTCACATCCATTGGTGAGCAAGTGATGCAATGCTACATTTCTCCAAATCTGATGAAGAAACAAACTCATCCTAATCTTGGATGGCCTGAGGATGAGGACTAGGGCTACAAAACGATTAATCGCGATTAATTACTTTAAAATAAAAGTTTGTTTACATAATATATCTGTGTGTACTGTGTATATTTATTATGTATATATAAATACACACACATATATGTATATATTTTAACAAATATTTTTATGTATATATATTCGTACTAGTATATAATTTATATGTAAATATTAATATTTAATATACAAATCTAACACATTTTTTCTTAATATATACATATATGTGTGTGTATTTGTATATACATTATAAATATACACAGTACACACACATATAGTATGTAAACATAAACGTTTATTTTAAATGCGATTAATCGCGATTAATCGTTTTGCAGCCCTAGTGAGGGCATTTTCAGCAAACCTTAATTTCTGGGTGAACTATTCCTTTAAAATGTATATGTTCACATGACACTATCCTTTTTTTCAGATGCTTTCTGACGTGTTTATAATGTGTTTTTTGTCTTGCAGGTGACAGATAATATTAGTCAGAACACCATACTGGAGTATGTGATGATCAACAGTATATTTGAGGCCATTCTACAGGTAAAAACTGTGATGTGTCTTCGATTTGACCTGCGCATTATAATGTCGTCCATTTAATTCGCCTCTTTTTGTCCAGATTCTGTCTGAGGTTTCCAGTCGAGCGCAGCACGGATATGATGCTGTGGTACTTTTAGCTCTGCTGGTCAACTACAGGAAGTATGAGGTAAGTGCACAGTGACGCTTGTACTAATGTAATATATCGTTCTAGTCATGAAGCATTGTTTGTACGATTTCTGTGAGGCTCATTGTTTCCTCTGTTAATTGTAGTCTGTGAATCCTTATATTGTGAAACTGTCGATAGTGGACGACGAGCCGACCCTGGATGTGAGTAGTTAGGGAGATTCTTGAAATTCAAGGTATTATTGAGTCGCGTGGAGGTCTAATATAGTTGATCTTTTCACAGGGCATGGGAATGGTCATCCACCACGCACTTGCAGAGTACAATAGGTGACGTGCAATCTTTGTTGTTTGTTTTTAAGAAACGTGTGTGAAAGATTTAATGTGATCCATCTGGTTTCCACAGACAGTATAAAGACAAAGAAGAAGAAAACCAGGGAGGCTTTTTCTCCACCCTCACCAGCATGGTATAAAACTCTTTTAGCATTTATTCATGTCTAGGGATCTATGAAATCGGTTTTATTTTTTCCCAAATTAGATTTTTTTTTTTCCCATTTCAATTTTACTGGATTCCGTTTTTTTTTTTCCATTTCAATTTGTCAATTTGAATTTAATTATTATTTTATTCCCAGAAATACAGCTGTGCATTTACATTTTTTGCTTTAAAAAATTTCTGGTAAATAATTTTTATGGTAAATATTCCTTTAAAAATAATGTTTTAATAATATTGTTATTAGTAGTAGTAGTACTATCATTACATTAAGTAATATATTTCTGTCACAGCTTCTTCGAGTTGAACCGAACTTTTATTTTGACGGGTTGCTGTGAAGATCGTTTCTGTTTGTATATGATATGACGATAGTTTTACTCAAAAGAAACGGAAACATTTTTGTGGCTTAATATTAACAAACACTAGTGCATATCGCGTTTTGATCTAAGTGTTCTGACCTACTTTTCATTTATCCATCCGGCCAAAATCGACCTGTTCTCAGCAGAGCTCCTGAGAAAGGAGCTGTAAAAATATATTGAGATGGTTTTTGGTACTTATACCGCAAATATATATTCTTAAGGACATCAAAACCTAAAATAAAACTCCAGAAAGGTGTACAATATGGGACCTTTAATATTAACAATCACTAGTGCATATCGCGTTTTGATGTAAGTGTACTGACCTACATTTCATGTATCCATCCAAAATGGGTGCAAAATTCTGCGTTGTACTGTAAATTCCGTTTTTATGACTACATTCCGCGATTCTGTCTGCGTTTTCCACATCACGGAAATCATAGGGCCCTACATGTCTTTCCAAGCTGTTTCACTTTTTTGTTTCTGTGGAACACAAAAGAAATTTAGCAGAATGTTCACGCTGCTCTTTTGAGTGATTTTGCAGCTACATATTTATCATAATCATGCTTTGGTCTGCAGGTGGGCAGTATGTTTATCGCTGACGCAGATGAGAAGCTGTCAGTACAGTAAGTAAAAATTAAAACAGTTTAATACGTGATTGGATTTTTTTTCATATACAGCTAACCTACAAAAGTTTGGGGTTGGTAAGATTTAAAAAAAAAGAAGTCTCTTCTGCTCACCAAGGCTGCATTTATTTGATAAAAAATACAGTAAAATCAGTAATATTGTGAAATATTATTACAATTTAAAAGAAGTGTGTTCTATTGTAATATATGTTAAAATGTAATTGATTGAGCTGAATTTTCAGCATCATTACTTCAGTCTTCAGTGTCTCATGATTCCGCGATGAAAGTTCAAAAGAACAGCATTTACTTGAAACAGAATGTTACCTTTTAAGTAATTACTGTCACTTTTTATCAATTTAATGCAACCTTGCTGAATAAAAGTGCTAATTTCTTTCAAAAAAAGCGAACCTTTGAAGAGAAGTGTATATATATATTTGAAGGTCAGATCAGCCCCATAAGTCTCCAGCGCATAATAGCAGTCATCAAATCCTGAAATGTCCATCCTTGTATTATTAAATCAAATGCTCCACATGTCTGATGACTTTATTGTCCTTTAGGACTAATGAAGCCATCCTGCTCGCTCTCTATGAGGCCGTGCATCTCAACAGAAACTTCATCACAGTTCTTGCACAGGTCAGCACTGCACAATGACTTGTATTTATCTTTGCGCACTGACATATGCATATATTATTAGGCCTGTCCTATCTATACTTATATTGATGGTTATGGTTTATCTTTGCATCTGTAATTGGCAATCACAGAGCCATCCGGAGATTGACATTGCAACAACCCCAGCTGTGCCCGTCCCAGCCTCTCCTCTGACCCCGCTGGGCACCACACCGCCCTCTCTGGACAGTGAGTAACTAGTGTTAAAATATCATTCACTCACCCTCATGTCAAACCCACATGACCTGCTTTCTTCTGCAGAACACTAAAGTAGAAATACATGCTCCGTATGAGTAACCAGAAGTGAGGTTTGTTTGAATAATGAAACGCTTTGAGATTTTCAAGCAGCTGTTGTTCAGCAAATGACCCTTTGAATCGTACTGTACTTCCAGTCTGTTATTTTGTAGAGCTGGCATTTCACTTCCTTAAACCGACTCCACTCTTACATTTGCCTCTAAAACACGTTTAACTTTTATGCTGCTTTTTGCATTGCAACCTTTTAAAAACTTGATATCCATTAGCTGTATGAAATATTAAATCCACTCGGATCTGGCAGACTGAAGCTCCTGCTTGAATGTGCCAGCAGAGCTCAATCATCTGTAATCAGGATGACACGGGAAACATTCACAATATACTTATAGCCTGTTCACAAAAAGGACAATAACTATAATGATAATTATGACGTTTTAATACTCATTGTAATATAATAATAACTATAATGTTTTAATAAGCTTTTCAATTTAACAAAAACGGTAACATTTTAATAATTGTTCTAATTGGACTAAAACTGTAACATTTTAACATTCTAATGTAACAATAACTGTAACATTTTAATAATGTTCTAATTTAACGATACCTATAACGTTTTAATAATCTTTTTAATTTAATGATACCTGTAACGTTTTAATAATCGTTCTAATTTAACGATACCTGTAACATTTTAATAATGTTCTAATTTAACGATACCTATAACGTTTTAATAATCTTTTTAATTTAATGATACCTGTAACGTTTTAATAATCGTTCTAATTTAACGATACATGTAACGTTTTAATAATCGTTCTAATTTAACGATAACTGTAACGTTTTAATAATCGTTCTAATTTAATGATAACTATAACGTTTTAATAATCGTTCTAATTTAACGATACCTGTAACATTTTAATAATGTTCTAATTTAATGATACCTGTAACGTTTTAATAATTGTTCTAATTTAACGATAACTGTAACGTTTTAATAATCGTTCTAATTTAACGATACATATAACGTTTTAATAATCATTCTAATTTAACGATACCTGTAACATTTTAATAATGTTCTAATTTAATGATACCTGTAACGTTTTAATAATCGTTCTAATTTAACGATACATGTAACGTTTTAATAATCGTTCTAATTTAACGATACATGTAACGTTTTAATAATCGTTCTAATTTAACGATACCTGTAACATTTTAATAATGTTCTAATTTAATGATACCTGTAACGTTTTAATAATTGTTCTAATTTAACGATAACTGTAACGTTTTAATAATCGTTCTAATTTAACGATAACTGTAACGTTTTAATAATCGTTCTAATTTAACGATACCTGTAACATTTTAATAATGTTCTAATTTAATGATACCTGTAACGTTTTAATAATTGTTCTAATTTAACGATAACTGTAACGTTTTAATAATCGTTCTAATTTAACGATAACTGTAACGTTTTAATAATCATTCTAATTTAACGATACCTGTAACATTTTAATAATGTTCTAATTTAATGATACCTGTAACGTTTTAATAATCGTTCTAATTTAACGATACCTGTAACGTTTTAATAATCGTTCTAATTTAACGATACCTGTAACGTTTTAATAATCGTTCTAATTTAACGATACCTGTAACGTTTTAATAATCGTTCTAATTTAATGATACCTATATCGTTTTATTAATTCTTCTAATTTAACAATAACTGTAACGTTTTTAATAATCGTTCTAATTTAACGATACCAATTATGTTTTAACAATCGTTCTAATTTAACAACTGTAACGTTTTAAAAGTTGTTGAAATTTAATAATAACTGTAACATTTTAATTATCATTCTAATTTAACAATAACTAACGTTTTAACAATCGTTCTTATTTAACAATACCTATAATGTTTTAATAATTGTTCTAATTCAACCGTAACTGTAAGGTTTTAACAGTCGTTCTAATTTAATGATAACTAACATTTTAATGATTGTTCTAATTTAACAATAACTGTAACATTTTTAATAATTGTTCTAATTTAACAAGAACTGTAAAGTTTTAATAATCGTTCTAATTTAACACAATAACTGTAACATTTTAATAATTGTTCTAATTTAACAACTGTAACATTTTAATAATCGTTCTAATTTAACAATATCTATAACGGTGGATACGGTATCCTTCAATATGCAATATTCACTTTCAGAAGGGATTTTTTTTTCAGCTGTTACCATAAACCATGAACCATAAAAGCATTGACAGCCAATCAGAATCCACATGACTTTACAGACAGTGAATATCATTATAGTTATCATTCTTAGTGTGAGTGGAACCTAAATAGTACAAGATTATAGTAGCGGGGTACCAAAAAAAAAGTGTATTTTTGCACTTTTTTTTTTTTTTTGGCTAATATTGCTCAGTTTTTGTGCAGTTGAAGTGATGGATCTCTGTAGAATCTTTCAGTAAAAAAAAATTTAATGTGACACTCCCACATAAGTAATGAACTTAGATAATGATGGATGTGAATTCAGCTAAATACTAATATGCTAGCAACACAAAAAGGGGGGGGGGTCTGTGTTGTCAAGACGTGATTTGAGTGTATGCACTTCTAGGGTGTAGTATAGGTACGCAAATTGGGGCGAATGATCATTTTCAGGAATGATTCACCACGCTTACATTCTCTCTTTGCAGTGATGAATAATCCTGAGCTTCCTCTGGACCCAAACCTGCAGACAAGTAATCTTCTTATAACCTTCCTCAAGTATTCCTCCATCGTAATGCAGGACACCAAAGGCAAGCTATCACTGTTTCTCTCCTCTGTGCTGTCCAAAACCTAGCGAGCTTCCTTGCGCCTACCTAGGCAGCATCCAAAGTCAAACAGAACCTCGACTCACTATGGACTTCAGTGGAGTTTGTTATTAGCATGTCGCTAAGCTAATAACACGATACTCTTATAAGCATAAAAACACAAAGGAAGCACATTTTAGCTAAAATAGTCCATTTTTAATTAGATTATCAGCATTTTTCCCACTTTGTCCACAATTTTGGATTTTTGCGCTTGTTGCAATGCATTATGGGATTGCGTTCTTTGCAAAGGATGCATGCAGTTTTTAATTTTTACAAAAGAAGGTAAGGCGGCATTACCTTACCTACATGTTGGAAAAGCTTCTATGCCAAAGTGCCTTGAAATGCTGCCTAAGTAGGGAGCTCACTAGAATTTGGAACGGAGCCATTTATTTCTCTTCGTTTTTTTGTGCACATCTTACAGTAGTTTTCCTCTGTATGTTTTCAGATGAACACAGACTCAACAGTGCCAGGCTTTGCCTCATCATTCTGACCTGCATAGCCGAGGTAATGCATTGTGGGTAATTCTTTTTTTCCGTTCGTTCACTGTTTGACTGTTTGTCCTCTCGCTGTCCGTTTTAAAGGACCAGTACGCCGACGCCTTTCTCCACGATGATAACATGAACTTCAGGGTCAACTTGCACAGAATGGTAAGAGTCCCTACTGAGGTCTCAGTGGTTTTTAAATGGCAGGATCCAAATAAAGACGATGTTTCTGGCATATACAGCAGCAAACTGCCCGACCCCGTGTTACAGCCAATCCATTACCAAATGGGACGTCCCAGAGCCTCACTGCTGATGCAGTAAATCCAGTTATCTAGATGCATGAAAGCAGGATCATTTGTGCACTTTGGCCAGTCTTAAAGGGACCTTTCATCCAAAAATGAAGTCCTTGCAATAAAAGTCCAGTGTTGTTTGTACTTGTAGCTTTTGTTGGTTTTTATTGCTTCTGTTGTCCTCATTTTGCGTCTGTTAAATGACAATGTAAATTTTTTAAATGTTATTTTGTATTTCTTCACTTTTGATTCTTTTTTTTAAATAGTTTATTTTTAAATTCACATTTTTTTGTGTGTTTTTAGTTTTTTTCTTTTGTCTTTTTTATTTTTGTTTATTGCATTGTGTTTTTTTTGTTCTTGTTTTTATTTATTTTTATTCATTTTATTTTTCTTTGATATCTTTATTTTTTTGTTCTTCTGTTTTTTTTATTTAATTATTTTTATTCACTTTTGTTTTTGATTTCATTTTCCCCCCGTCTTTTTTGTTTTTTTTATTTGTTTGTACTTGTAGCTTTGAGTGAAGTCACTTCTCTTATGCATTTCAGCCCATGAGGCATCGAAAGAAAGCGGCGGATAAGAGCATCCCCTCTCGGCCTTTAGTTTGTGCGGTTCTGGGTGAGTTTTGCGATCAGATTGAGTGACGTCTTTATCGTTCTGTGAGCGTTTATGTGAGTATTCTTTGTCTTTGCAGATCTGATGGTCGAGTTCATCGTTACTCATATGATGAAGGAGTTTCCTATGGATCTCTACGTGTGAGTTTCCTTTTAATTTGCAGCTGTAAATACTGCGATGCTGAGATGATGGATATGTGGATATGGTGAGAATGAATTAAGTCATTTGTTGTAGACGCTGCGTTCAGATAATCCACAAACTGATCTGCTACCAGAAGAAGTGCAGAGTTAGGGTGCACTACACGTGGAGAGACTTCTGGTCAGGTATGATCTTACGCTGTGTGTCTGAGCAAAACACAGGCTCTGTGTGTCACTCTGTGTGTTCTGGGGTTTGTTTCTTTGCTTTTAGTTTGTTTTTGTCCTTTCGCTTTTTGGTTTGCTATTTATTTTTACTTTAGTTTTATATATAGTAAATATTTTATATATATAATATATATATATATATATATATAGTAACAT